GTTTAAAAAGAAAATTAAAATATATATATAAAATATATTGTTACAAACTACAATGACAAACCAACAGATCATCTGTCAAACATATAACTATTGACATATAAAGAAAAAAAAAAATATTTATAATGTATATTGTTATAAATATATATTGATAAACCAACAAGTCATCTATCAAACAACAATCTAAGGGGGTGATTGTTTATGTTTTGAATAGTAAAAAATTTAGAATTTTTTAATTATGGTTAAGTTTAAGAAAAAGTGGTATGGTTAGTTGTTAGTGGATATATTAAAATAGTATTTAAAATAAAATAGTTAAAGTTGATTTGATGTAAAAGTAAGAGAAAATGATTGGAATTGATAGTTAGTTAAAATTAGTTAAAATTATGTGAGTAGATGAATAGTGAATTAAAGTTGATGTGATATGTAATAATGATTTGTTGATGTTCTTTAATTATATAATAATATTGGAGATATTGTGGTTGAGTTAAAGTTGAGTTAAATTTGAATTTGAGTAAAAACAATTATTGTACAAATGGTAACAATCACCCCCTAAATTGTTAGCTTAGTAATGAAGTCAAACTATTTATAATATATATTGTTACAAGTTATAATGATATATCAACTGGTGTCGAAGTATGATTTATTAAACTAGAAAGAAAATTCTAAATATTTATAATATACTTGATTAGATTACGAAATATTAAGATAATCTTTATATAATTAAAAATTAAAAAATTTTATAACTCCGTCGGTCGAGCATATCTAAACCTCGATAGACAACATGATCATTCGTGGCGAGTTGATAGTATACACTACATTTTTTTTTTAAATTAATTGTCAGTTTATAATATTTGCCATATTTTTTTAACTTTATAAATCACTTATTTAGGATTCAAAATAATGTATAATAAGGTATAAGTAAGAGAAGAGAGATAAGTATTTTTGTGAGTATTATTTATATTAATAATGTTTGGTTATGTTAAATTTCCATGCTTAATAATTCTAAATATGAACCCTAAACTGAAGGAATTTTATATCTCGTGAAATAAGTATATAAATCATATATTAAACTGTTACATAATATAAATATAAGGTAAAAGATAAAAAAAAATACAAGTTATTATTATTGTCTCATGCATTGCACGAGCTACTTACTAGTATATATAAGAAATTTGACATTTACTTTTTTTCAAAAGGATATATTTGCTTTTTACTTAATATAGTAAGGTTTCCCGGCAAAATAAAAATATTAGTTACAAAATAAAGAAAGTTTTTTAAATATTTTTTACTCTTGTATTTTTTATTTTCTTTTTGGTAATTATTTATACCATCCATTGTAACATTTCTATTTTTATTTTAGGTAATGTGATGCCAATAATTTATTTAAATGTAATAATTAAACTTTTTAAAATGTTGCAGTCAATTATTTTTAGTTAATATTGCATATATAAAGTGAACATACATTTATATTTAATACAGAAAAAAAAATAATAATAATAGTCAAAAGTTATGCATAGTCAAAAGTTATTCATATAACAAAATATGAATGTATGCATAACAAAATATATTTAGTATAAAATAATCTAAATTAGTAATTAATATGTCTATTCCTCGGTATTAAAAAAAATAATGTTCAAAATATAAATCAAATAGAAGCCCGAACGTATTAAACCAGGGAGGAATGGTGACTTTTAGGACAAGAGGCTATAAGTAAAAATTATTTCGAGTATCAAATGTATACGATATTAAAATGATAAATTAACCGATCATTTGTGGAACTGTCATGCAAATTATTAGATCATAAAAATTAAAAAATATTTACAATATAAATTGTTATAGATTATGATAATAAGTCATTTGTCAAACAAATCTATGTAATTATAAGTTGAGAAAGAAAAATCAAAATATTTATTATATATACTTTTACAAATTATGATGACAAATAAACGGATCATGTGTCGAACTATTCATGTTATTAACTAGAAAGAAATAATAAAACATTTATAATGTAAGTTTTTATAAATAATAATGATAAATAAACAAATCGTTTGTCGAACAACAATGTAAATTGGTAACTTACAAAAAAAATAAAATACCTATAATGTATATTATTGTAAATTATAAAGATAAGTCCACTGATGTTGAAATATCATATGAATTATTAAACTAGAAAGAACATTGAAAGTTTTTATAATATTCATTACTATAAATCAAAAAATAAAATAATTTTTATGTAATAAAAAATCGGTAACTTTGTAACTTTAAAATAATATATACTTACTAAATTAAGTGTCGTTTATAATATTTTTCACAATTTTTCAACCTTACCACCATTTATTTAGGAATCTAAATAACATATTGTAATAAGGTTGGGTAAGGGAAGAGAGAAAAGTATTTTTTTTTTTACTACTATTTATTGATAAATCTTGAACATGTTAATTTTTCATGTTAACTAATTCTAAACAAGAAATCTAAAATGACAACTATTTTATAACGGGTTAAACAAACATATAAATCATAGATTATATCATAGAAATAAAAGAAAAAATAAAAATTACTAAAATAGCTAAAACTATTTTTATTCTATCAATGTTCTTCACTACATTAATTTATATGATTATTGTCCCCTGCATCGCACGGGCTATGCACTAATCTAAATGTTACACCAAATTTACAATTATGTAGATGTTTGATATGTGCACAAAATGCAATCCTTATGAACTAAGTGATCATTACCTGAAATCCAGATCCAAAGGAATTGACAACAAAGATGTCCAGCAGTTTTCCCTGGAATAATATCCAAGAACTTCAATGCAACATCGTATAGTACACACACACACACACACACACACTATTTTTATTTATTAATTTATTTAGCACACAGTCATAAAGCAATATGCATTGCGTTGTTGGCACCTTGAGGCGGGTTGCAGCATCAAGGAAAACAGATTCCTGCACATGTCCACATATTTCAGTAAATTAATTGCCTTCTAAGTAATGATTTTCAGGAAAATCTTTTGTGCATTACCTTGAGGACAGAAGCAACTGCTTGAAATGCAGTTGAAACAATCATCATTGCTGGCCATATGACCCCAACTCCGGAGAGAATCTGATTGTGTTCAGATCCACTGTGATCCGGAAAACAAATGTTTTGCAGAAACATGAGATGCAATCATTATATATGAGCTTATTTCACAACAATTTCAATATGTGTCATCCAATGATCAAGAATTGCTTTTCCCAATGGAGAACTATTACTTTGAGTACAAGGAGGGATCAGGGGGAAGAAAAAGTTCACATGGAGCTGGAGAAATTTGTAGGGCATGTGCATTGGAGATACGCACTTTGATATTTGATTTTAAGAAAAATATATTGAATACTAAATTACTCAAGCTCAACTATACCAAAGAATCTTCAAACTCAATAAGAAACTCTTAAGTGGACTATTAACACATAAGGATTCATTCAAACTTGATTTGATTGTTTTATCCTTTATTAACAGGATAAATGAACTATAATACACTAGAAATGCACCAAATAAATTCAGTAAATTTCAACATTTTTCATGCAATAAAAGAGCAACCTTGTAACTGCTAATACAACACCAGCTGCAACAAGAAAGCATCCAGCCAGTCGGTTCAAAGAGTAACTCCTCCTCAACAGGAGCACAGAAAAAGCCAGCTGCCATACCAAAAATGTCTGCAACAATATCGCCGATGCATAAATAAAATCAGCGCGAGTTGATAATGATTATCCACTTTTTGGTTGGAATTGCTTCTAGCTAAACATCAGATATTATTATAGGATATACAAGATGTGACTGTCTAGAATACAAATAAGTTGGTAATTCAATATAATTGCACCAAAGATGGAGAAAATGACGATCATATGGAAAATCTATTTGGTTATGCATGTCAATTTCTGAGAAAGCACAAGGACAAGTACAAAGTAACACCTTGTCGACTCTGAGAGAATGATTAAGTACTCCAGAAGGGACAGAAAGGAATAGGCCAAATCGAACTTCATCTGTCAGTGCAAGGGGTTTTAGCTAGATAACCTAAACAGAGGCTTTAACATTTGAAAAGGGGTAAAAGAACGGCCATATTCTAATTAAACTATAAAGTAACTGCATTTAACAGAGACGTTTAAGAGAAGTAAGATTTCACTGTCCATTCCCATTAACATAAGATGGCATGTCTTATTAGAGAGGAAGTGTAATTTCTTTGTAACAAGAAATCATGAATGCAGAATGAAAATTCAACTACATAGCTCTAAATAATAATGGAATTACCTGACTTAATATAGGTATAGCTGGTCCAGGAAGCATGGCTGTAAAAAAGTACACACCAATGAATAAAAGAGGAAGCTAAACAAAGCTGAAACACTTGAAATTTCTCATACCTCCAGAATACATGCCTGAAACAACGCCAAGAGCTTCTAACAAGCCAATGAATACAAAAGGCCATTTTGGGATGGCTAACATCTCATCAGTCGCGATGCCAGCTCTGTATCTCATGTTAAGGGCAGAGAAATATACAGCCACATACCTGTCGATTCGTATATAGAGCTCTTTCCATTACTGTCATTCACAATTGAACACGGACTAACATAACCTAATTGAATAGTCCGAAAAATCCTACACCATCAATTGTTTATATGATACTAGTCATAAATAATGATAAATCTATCCAGGAACACAAGATTCATCCAGTCATGACTTTCTTACAGCAAATTTTACCCAAATGACGAACATCAGTTCAGGACCTTCATACCTTTCTAACTAATATTAGAAATACAAATGTATAAATAAAATGAAAACCATGGACGCAGACCCGAAAGTAGTGAGCTGAGCCAGAAAGAAGGGGAATTCCTTCATGGGAACAAGCGCGAGCTTGTAGAACACGCGATTAGCTATGGCTAGCGCCACGGTAACAGCACAGCACACCGCGGCGTAGAGTTTCCGATCGGGAGCGTGAGGCGGCGGCGATGTGATATCCTTCTTGGCGGCGGAGAGCGGAGGCAGACTCCTGAGCCTGAGCTTGCAGCTGGTGTTGTGGTAGTAAATCGAGAATTTGACAGGAGGAATTTTGTCGGGATTAAGATTGAAGTGATGATTAAAAGGAAGTCCGCTTAGGGGTTTGATTGGCGGAGCTGAAGAAGAAGAATAATGAGGTGACCGGAGATTGTTCATTGCAATGGAGGAGCGGAGAGATGGAAATGGCGGCATTAGTTAATGGCTAACCGCTGCAACTCTCAATCAAATTATTTTTGCCATCCTCTTCTTCGGTTCTTCCTGTATTCGTTCGAGATATTAGACTTATTTTAGGTGTATAATAATTTTTGCCACGAAATTTCACTCATAGTTTTTAAACCCGGCTTATCGACTCGGGCAGGTCTTCGAGTCACCGGGTCTTTGGTTCAACTGCCGGGTCACTGAGTCAATTGTTGAACCGGATAATTAATTTTAAAATTATAAAATTATATATAGAATATTTTGTGATATATAAATATACATAAAAATAACAAATTTAAATATTTTGTATGTAAAATTTGTAGATTAAAGTAGTAATAATATGTATATATTTATCATATAAATATATATACATAATTTTATTTTTTAAAAAGAAAAAGAAAATTAAAAAACAAAAAAAATAAAAAAATACATATAGGGACCGGGTCAACTGGGTTGACCCAGCCGGGTCAATGCCCCGGGCCGACCGGGTCAAGGCCGGGTCGGCCGGGTTTTGACCAAGCTTGACCGGGTTCGTTGTTGTCCGGTCCAATTAACCCACCCGGACCGGTTCCGACTCTAGGTCGACCCGCCGAGCCGGTCCGGGTCACAAAACACAGATTTCACTACAAAAAATATGTCTCCTGAAATAAATAGAGTGCGTCTCTTTTTTCTCTCTCTCTCTTTCTCTCTATATATATAATCTATATATATAATTGTTGGCATGTAGCATTTAATAAAACTTATTTAATAAAACCTCTAAAATTTTCTCTCCATTTTCGGTTATAAAATTTGTCATTATTATTTTTTACTTCTCACATTAATACATCTTAATGAGTGCCATCATGTATGTTTATATTATATTATATAATAGTTATTGCTAATACCAAGTAATAATAATTCACAATAATTATAAATTACATAATTATAAACAATTGTTTCAAGTTATGTATTTTAACATCAATATTATCTTTTTTTTTGTATCTTATGAAAAAAAATTCTTTAAAAATAATTAGTAAATTGTTTTAATAGCATAGTTAAACAAATTTAGAATCTTATAAACAATTGTTTGTTAATAATATATATATAGCGATTGGTTCCAATACATCCGCTTTTTTAAAATGAGGACGTGAGACCGCATCTCGTCCGTTCTTTCCCCATCTAATCTAACGTCCAGGATTAATTCATTATATTAATTAATTTTCGCGGGCGCTTCTTCATCTTCTTTTCCACTTTCGCACTTGCACTTTGTTTCTGTTCCATTTTCGCTCTTGCTTATTGTTTCTATTCCATTCTCTTCAACTTTCGATTTCATTTTACTTTTCGTCTCAATTTCTGTTTCGGTTTTATTGTTCGCAGTCTCTATTCTCGCAGATTCTCGTCTTAATCGGTGAGTATTTTTTGCGTTTGTTTTTGTTTGTAATCTGTTTTTGGATATTAGGTTTTTGTTTTTCATTTGTTTGTAATCTGTGTTTCATTTTCTTTTTTTCACTTGTTATTCTCGCAGATTCTCGTCTCTATTCCTTGTTATTTTTTTGATCGGTGTTATTTTTTTTTTTT